GCGCTCGCGGAACGCCAGGCGAGTGTCTTACCACTACACCACGGACACTGCGACTGTTTTGTGTATCCACACACGTATAGGACATGTTCCTTGACAGTTCTGGACATGTTCCAGAACTTGTTCCTTGTGTACGTCATTCCACTCTGTAATTAACGGCATTTGCAGCTAATCTCAGATAAACAGATTGAGCTCAACTTGTGCCAACAAAATTCTCTGCAGGAGAGCTGCTTGATTCTTGACACGTCGTCCCGCCGCCAGCTGCTTGCTGCTTCACCGCGCTCACCTTGTTATCTCCAGACACAATACACAAGCTTCTGGTGTTGCATAGGATAGCAGTTCTGCTCCTCCCAGGTTCCCCCATAGGATAGCAGTTCTGCTCCCCGAGATTTCCCCATAGAATAACAGTTCTGCTCCCCTAGGTTCCCCATAAGATAACAGTTCTGTTCCTCCCCCCCCCCCCAGGTTTCCCTACAGGATAGCAGTTCTGCTGCCCCTAGGTTCCCCCATGGGGTAGCAGTTCTGCTCCCCGAGATTTCCCCATAGGATAACAGTTCTGCTCCCCTAGGTTCCCCATAAGATAACAGTTCTGTTCCTCCCCCCCCCAGGTTCCCCCATAGGATAGCAGTTCTGCTCCCCGAGATTTCCCCATAGGATAGCAGTTCTGCTCCCCCCAGGTTTTTCCCCACAGGATAACAGTTCTCCTCCCCCCAGGTTCCCATAAGATAGCAGGTCTATATATATATATATATATATATATATATATATATATATATATATATATATATATATATCAGGGTGTTTCTGATATCTTTTTACCTGGATGTCAGGCTTTGGGCGGCGCCATCTCAAGTTTGTGTGGTGTTGTACACAGGGACAATATTATATGCAGTCCTTCTTCTCGATGTAAGAAAATCTTATTTCACAGCGTGTGGGGGGAATTGACCTGATTGAGAGATCTATTTATTTAATTTATATGAGTTTATATAGAATTTATATTTTACGTTAATTTATATATTTCGATAGCAAATTGTATGATGAAGTGGACTGTATTTCTAAAAATTCCCACAAATCGATTTCCTTACACATTATGGGTGGTTTTTATTGTTCATATGCAGTCAACCATATAAATTATTGGTTAGTAAACATTCACTAGAGTATTAAACTACACATGTAACATTAAATTGGGAGGCCTTATCTTACTGTTGTTACATCCTAGACATCCAGTATGAATTCTGATGAACAAGCCTGTTGATACACTTTGAGTGTGGCTGGCCTCCATCTTGTGTACTGGAGTGCTAGGTTACTTGTGTTAATTACTCTTGTTTCTCGGGAACCGGCCGGCCGAGCGGACAGCACGCTGGGCACGTAATCTTGTGGTCCCGGGTTCGATCCCAGGCGCCGGCAAGAAACACTGGGCCAGAGTTTATTTCACCCTATGCCCTCTGTTACCTAGCAGTAAAATAGGTACCTGGGTGTTAGTCAGCTGTCACGGGCTGCTTCCTGGGGGTAGAGGCCTGGTCGAGAACCGGGCCGCGGGGACACTAAAACCCCGAAATCAACTCAAGATAACCTCTTCTGTTCCTCTGATATAGCTGTTATATTACAGCTATATCAGAGGAACGAAGTATATTGGTAATTTAAATAAAAAGATGAAAATATTGCTCACCATGGGTTGGTCGCTGTCTCGTCTGCTAACCGGTTCGCCCTATATATATATACCTAACATAACTGGCCAGGAATGTACGGATAATAAACGGGTTTCTGTAATACACTTCCCTGATGGTAAACGTAGTTATGTGTTGATAACCGAAGCACTTGACTTTTGTAACTCGGCTGTCCAAGGGAGAATTCTAGGAACTAAATTAGCTCCAACGACTTTGCTGTTAAAATTAACAATGGCTGACTCCCCTTCTCCACATGGCTCTCTTGTCCAGATGTGGTAGAAAGGTCATATTTAATCTATTTTGGTACTAATAATTAAGTTGATTCAAGTGAAATGTTTTTATGATGTTTAAAGTCCAAAGACTGTTGTGTTAAGAATGTTCCCATTAACTGGTTGAATTAATAGCGACGTGGCAATGATATCTCGTTTTCTAAGAGAGGAAATTGCGACTATAGGCTACATTTTCTATGGGTTAACTTGTTAATATAAACAGCAGCCATATTATCTGCATATTGTATTGAATATTAGTAAATAGTGTCGGGTTTTCCGACTGCGTGTTTGTTGGGTAATTCTGTACCCCCTAGCTCACTCCACACACCTGCTTCCCACTCCACACACCTGCTCCCCACTCCACATACCTGCTTCCCCACTCCAGACACCTGCTTCCCCACTCCACACACAAGCTTCCCCACTCCACACACCTGCTTCCCCACTTCACACACCTGCCTCCCACTCCACACACCTGCCTCTCCACTCCACACACCTGCCTCCCCACTCCACACACCTGCCTCCCCACTCCACACACCAGCCACCACACACACACACACCAGCAACCCT